GACCAATCAACTCTTTGTCTGGCACTGGCCAATTCATAACCTTCCCTCACAACATTTGCATAGAAATATCTTAATTACGACCACAGTCTCCGGTAGGTGCAGGTGGCCATGAGAAAGACACATTCAACAGCAAAATGATAGATTATCTACACCTGAATATCATCAGTTATTTTTTCCAGGAAAATACAGAAAAAAACAGTCATTTCCATAAGCAGGCTAATTCACATTTACATAGAGATGAATCCAGATGCAAATGAACGAAATGGCACGTACTCGAAACAGGTCCCCTGGCTGCACTGAGCCATCAACAGGCGTCCCCCAGAGGAATATCAAAATCCATCAAGCACGTCAATCAAATGCTGTGCAGCACTTCAGTTAAAGTAAAGGGGGGTAGCAAGGCAAAACATTTGAACACAACAAGGTTCTTACAAGGTAGCTAATGTCATGCCTGGGTAATCCTTGATTTAATAAACCAGACTGAATTTTAAGACATGTGCTATGATGACGGAATAAAGCATATGCTGAATTTAGGTCCTTTGCTATGGTAAAGTGTTTCATCCAAATGTGCTGTTGGCATTTGGAGGGCCATCATTACACACTTACATACGTCATAGCATCAAAGCATATAGATATATTCCATTCTGACATACAACAGTCTATTCTCTCAATAATATACAATGCAGATGTTTTACATGAAATCAAATGAGGCTTAGTGAGGACATTCTACAGAAAACCGTCTGACATTTTAGAGACAGAGCTTGAGGGAAGCAGCATAACAAATAGGATGGAATTAAGTGGTGAAATTAATCGAGGATTTATTTTTATGTATGCTATGACTGCCATGAAGCAAATCGTATTAAAGGAAAATAGAGGGAATCCAAATTGAGGTTAAACAGTTCTTGTTTCAGAAACAGTTTAAGGGATTATATTCAGATATCTATGTCTATTTGTACACATACCGTAGGCTATATGATTATATATTACTCCAAATCTAACAATAACCAAAATGATGATGAGGAATATAATAAAAGATCCAGTAGTCATGACAGAGTGAAAAAATAAACTAGACTTTTCTGATGGAAACGTATGAGTAGGGTGTAATCTTTTCCATAATCTGCAAGTGTGGCAGCCCTGAGAGAGTGGACAACCGCTGGACAGATATATTAAACTGCTCCCTCATGTAATATTTACTGTGACAGAGCCCTGCAAAAACCAATTCTTCACCCAAGGATGGACATTTATTGGCTCAAGACATTGGCCATCACAGTTTAGGGAAATCTGCTGTTCAAGAAAGGGGAATCTGTCATAGAGGTTTACATGGTCATACACACACACTCATCACCCTGATTCATTCTGATTTTTCAAGCACTTGTGGGCTATCACAGCTGACTTTAAAAGTAAATCCATATGGCAGAGATTAACAAAGCTGGGTGTCCCTTGTGATGGTTCCAGGTGCACACGCTTGTTAAACTGGCAGCTTGTGATGAAATGTGACTACAATCCAAAACTCACACCTGTGTATAGTAACCAACTAGCCAATTTTAACACTGAAATAATAAGTAAAGACAAAGAAGACATCTTGAGATTTGACTTAAATTAATTTGGACGTACATGAGAACAGAGGAAGTCACTTCATTTAACACTTTTTTCCCTGTCTTATTAGCGGAGGTATTTGCAGCCCTTTACTGCCTCTGTTACTCATTACCTTCTTCTTTGTCTTGAGAAAGAATGCCCAGAGGTCCTGACCTTATGCTTTCACCCCTGGTTTGGACAAAGCCAGGCTTTGTGCCAGATCTCCAGGCACACCATAGCCTGGCTGTCAAGCCCTTAAACTGCCAAAGCCCCTCCAGTTGTAGCCCAGACCCCCCAGTTTACCCTTCGTGGCCCGTATCCACTCAGCTGTGACTAAGTGACTCTCCCCCTAGTATGTTCTGTGTTTCATAATGAAATCTCTCAGTCATGCGCAGGAAGTTTCCTGCACTGTGTAGCCATGAAAGAATGCCAGCTATGTCCGTCCACTCACACATGGCAGGTCCACGGGGAAAGGGTCCGTCTAAGTCAGTTAGTCACCTGGTGTCTGGCAAAATACCCAGTTTGCCTTTTTTGTCCACTCATGCAAATAAGTTTGGTGTCATTTAGAAACGTCTTTGTGTTTTTAGAGGGTATGTAAAGTTAAGCTTTGACACTTGATGATGATGATGACATTTTAATATTCTGGTTAGAATTAATGATTTCAGTGTTAGAGGAATAGTTTGACATTTGGGGAAAAATGCTCATTTGCTTTCTTGACAAAAGTTAGATGAGAATATTGATACCATGCTCACGTCTGTCTAAACAATACAAGTCTACAACCAGCTGCCTGTTAGCTTATCTTAGCATAAAGACTGGAAATAATATGAATGCAACAAAAATATGCCTACCAGCACCTGTAACGCTCACTAATTAAAATGTTATAACTTGTTTTTGTGCTTGTGTAGAAAAAAACCAAAAACAATGTAAAAATAAGAGTTATCAGTTTACAGGGTGTGCCAGACTATTTCTTGGCCGGGGGCGATGACTTCCTGAAGTCTTGTTGTTACTGTGAGATTGCCAGGCAACGAGCAGAGACGCTGCCCCAAGAGCCAAGAACTTGTATAACCCCGTAAAATCACAATATATGTTGTTTTTACACTTTTATACCAGACTGGCTTTAGAGGTGGGGGCTAGCTGTTTTACAATCTTTAAGCTAATGACTGGACAGTGAGTGATACTGATCTTCACATGGAATGTTCAGTGAGAAAGTTACAGTAACAAGTATTTCCCAAAATGTTGCCTTCATATAAATAACTTTCTTTAAATATGACCTACTGATAAATCCCGGCATTATTTTTCTGTTTAAAAATCATGAAATAGGCTCTCAGCCAACGTTAACAACGGTTTATGTACACAGCTGGGATTCCTTGCACTTGCCTGCATGAAAAGTGTCTGCATGCGTGTGTGGTGTCCATGGAGATGATCCTCCCTCAGCTCCTCTGGAATGTTTGCAATGCGCACAAAGAAGAAGAAGATCAGCTCGAGTACCTGGGGTCTGTGCTCAGGCCTGCAGTGGGCCCCCGGCTGTATGACTGTCTGAGCCTGTCATTAAGCCGACTGAGACAGAAGACAAGCACATCTGGAAGGAACCACATAACCTGGCATGTATATGGGCATAACTAACTGCCATACACTGCATAGTAATCTCCTGCACTGGTGCCATGAGCTAGGACACGTTGCACTCATTAGACCATGTCACAAAGTAATGTGTATGAAGATTGTGTTGCCTGTGGATGAAAAAAAAAAGGGGAGGGGTGTAGACTTGAAGGAGTTTGCGTGGTGATCTGAAATAAGCCAGGCGGAAAGAGTGAGGGAGGAACATATGTGAACAGTTAAAAGGGTGATTCAACAACCTCTTTGATATCCACCATTAGTGTGATTACAGCTGGCATAGTCCCTAGTTAAAAAATGGCTTTCTTCTGAGCAGGAATGCACAAAAAAAAAACTAATTAGGAAAATGAAACGTTCATTTTCCATTTAGCTAACAAATGAAGTTGACAGTGATGTTAACACTGAAGACAGATGTGCAGCAGGAAGGGGCGAGATGCGGGTGAAATACATAGAGGGAAATCGTGCGAGGTAGGAAAGGAGGAAGGGTTGTTTGGTTTAGACGGGCAGACCTCACTTCAGCATTGTATTTAATCCCTGTCTGCAGCCTGTCTTCAATCTCTTTGCAGTATTTCTCATTAACAGGCATGCTTAGAGCAAGATGCCCAGCTGTAACCCGCCCTCCCGAAACACACATGTTCACATACTAACTCTACACCCAGCGCATTAACATGACCTGCTTTCCCCCTATACAACAGTCGGTGCACATATTGATCCCCAAGTCCCTATTAGAGCTGCAGCAGGCTGTCTGGAAAAAGCCTCCAGTTACACCTGCTTAAACCTCTGCTGCTTCTCTGCCGCTATGTAGTGACCTAGCAGGGAGAAGCATTAATCACTGGAACTGACACACGTGCTGTAAGCCATGAAATGAGATGCAAGTACAAATCGAGCCACTATTTGAACAAGATGCCCCCATCCCGCTCTATAGAGATGTACAAACAGTAGTGGTGTGCCCTTCAGTTGATCATGGATATATATAAAAAAGTGGTACAAGAAACCAGATGAGGTGCAGAATAATGTGAGGCTGGAAAGAATTAGGCCTTCAAAGGTCTGATCATTGACTTTCCCCCTGATGTGCTCGTAAGTGTAGAACCAGAAACCAGACCCAGTGCTGGGCCCATAGTGGAACTAATAAGGAGAAGATGCTTCCAAAAGGGTCTAATTCAAGACTGACGTGGGATACAGTATAAGGCCAACATAATACAGCTGACCTCCAGGTATCATATACACTGTAGGCTACCTCCACGTTTTTTCTCTTAAATATGTTTCGCTGTTACAAATTCAACCTTTGAAAAACTGTAAACAAGGCTCTCCTCTGAGAGCAAAGGCCCTAATTAATTGTGGACATGGCCCCCCGGCAACACATGCACCCACAAAAGGAGTTTTCTTACTTTCCGTCCAACAGCTTGAACCAATAAGCCATCCAGCCTTGGTCGTAGGTTCACCTTTTATGATGCTAGGATGATGAATATGCTGTAATCTGTCTTAGGAGGAAGTTTTGATATAGTTAGGGAACAGTAAAGCCCCTTCTTAAAGGATGTCAAATGATGTCAGTTGTCTCCTTCAATTCATCATTCTGGGTGAGATTATAAAAGGGGATTACAGATTCCTGTTGTAGCTTGCCTGTGGCTGACAGAATGGCTCCTAGGGAACAGTGTGCCAGTACAAGATATTTCTACAGCACAATGAGAGCACTGTAATGAGCAAGTACAGAGGCATGAAAAGTCCTAGTGCTACACACAGACTAGGTAAATAATTGAAGCACTCTAATAGGGCAGTTAAATACAAACTGCATACGAAAACACATAGTCTGACAACAGTTAAATTAAATTACAGTGTATTTATATCAAAAAAGACAAAGAGATTTTGGAATGTTACAATGCACATTAAATTAGTGGAGCATCAAATTCAAAACGAGTTGACAGACAATATTTACAACATACTTACAACATGTACAATGGATATGATACACCTGTGACTTTAAGGCTGAATATGCAGTCCAAACACAATTACAGGAGTGCAGGTGCTGCTACGACAATGCACTGTGCAAACGATTTCCTATAAAAAAGCGGGCCAGGTGTCCACAGAAATACAGTATTCAAGAGTCAACTTATGTTAAGGCTTAGGCAAGACACAAGGCAAGAATCCAAACACTTATGAAGGGCTGCATTATGACACCCTAGTCCCAAATATAGCCTACTCTTTACAATTAATCCTGCTTGGGTGAGCATCAGTTGGGTGAAGTAAGACAGGATAAACTGGCCTTTACCATTCCTCCTCTGTGAGGCATACAGTGAAAATCTCGGCAGGGAGCTTATAAACGTGTGAAATGTACTTATTTATAAAGTATGCAACACATTCTGTTCACAAGAGGTAGTTCAGCTGGATATTCAAGACAGGTTTGTGTAATGCGCATCAGTTCAGCACAGGTGTGCCAGTCACGTTTGCAGTGCTCATTGTACTGTGCAGACGACACATTTGTCATCCGTGCGTGCTGAACGGTCACAGCTGGCTGTACTTTCCTTTGCAGTGCAGAATGTGTTTGTATAATCTGTCTATCCTGTCCTGGAGAACACCAGCATGCTCGTCTGAGAGAAATCCTAATTCCGGAGACAAAGGCTCGCTGTCTCTGTAGAGCTCCAGCAGCCTTTTCCTGGAATCTCTGCGCCTGTGCAGCTCCGCCACGCGCTGCGTGGTCCTTCTTCTGAACACACACACGGAGCTCAGGACCGTATTGTGATATTTCTCCCACATGTTCAACACCCGAAACCCGTGCACGAGTCCGGCCTCGTTGTCTATGAACACAAGGTCACCGCGGGGGGTTTTGAGGAGGTTGTTGGTGTCCCTCTCCATTACGCGCGAGTCCCACTGCAGGCTGAACAGATTGCTGACGAGTCTGTCGAAGTTTGCGCTCAGGTAGTCCAATACGATCAGGTCGCTCCACTGCAATAGCTCCAGCAGCTCCGCCGCGGTCTTGTTCCAGAGCTCCCCGAGCACAGGGTGCAGCCCACTGCTCTCCTGTCTGAGCGGCGCAGGTGTGACCACGCCGGTCAGGTTCGAGACCCACTCGGTGAGAGAAACCACGGCTCTGTCACTCCACTGTAACCCACCTATCCGTGTCCTCACCGCCGCCCATTGCTCACTGTCGCCGCTCAGCTGGGACAGTATGAGAGGAGGCAAGTTCGTAATGCCGAGCAAACTGGCAAGGTAATAAGTTAAAGTTTCTCCTTGCACCTGATCCGCGTTTATCCCGTAACGCACGCACGCTTTGGTCCCATCTGCAAAAGTGGCGAGCTGGTTCGATATCCTGCCGCATCCAGGCTCCAGCTTCACTATCCGGTATGTCCTGGCTCTCTCTCGCCAAGCCCGAGCATATTCCTCCGTGAAGCCGACTGGGAGCAGATCTTCCAGCCATTCACTCCAAAATATCCCATCCTCCACCGGGGAGCCCAACTTGACCGGGCCCTCCCGCCGCGCTGACCTCTTGTTATCCCCATTCACATGGTAATCTCGACTTCCTGCAGAGACAGTTTGATCAGTGAGGTTGTGAGCCTCAAGTCTGCCCCCCAAGTGCGGTCTTTGTGCCGCTGGGACAGCGAGCAAAACCCGGAAAGTTTTGGCGGAGAGGTCCGCTGGGAGACCTTGGTGAAAAGAGCCTGGCACTGAGAATCTCCGCTTGTCTCGCTCCAAACGGTTCTCCAGTGCGCTCCAGACGTAGAACACACTCGCAAGGGCGCACAAGAGAATGAGGGCGAAGAAGTTTGCCGAAACAGCCCTCATGGTGAGACCACCCGTTCCCCCCACGGACCCCGCGGAGCTCCGGCAGGTTTAAATAAGACAGAGAGAGAAGCAGTTTGTTCTGCAGTCCACAGTTGAGCTGGAGCGGCTGCGAGCTGTGCGCCCCGTGTCCCGCACTCCTTCCAAGCCCCGCAGCTCACAGGCGGACTGTTTGAGATCACAGGAGAAGGAAGAGGGTCTCCGAAACAGCGTGAATCTCATCTCCCGTCCTGCTCACATCTCTTGCCATATCCCTCCTCTGCGGGAAACAGGAGAGAACATTTCGGAACCACCACAGCGGATATCCGCTATTGAGCGTAATTCTTGATAGCCCAGTGGCATCGCAGGCGCTTTCTGCCCGTATGCACCTCTCCGTTTCTCATCCTCCTTTCTCTCTCTCCACCAGGCGCTGGGTGAGTTTGATTTGTGGCGGTGTCGGCTCATTGAGAGACACTAGGCGATGAGACACGTGACTCCAGTCCCGAGATGGTGGGCGGATCGTGGGGAGGAGGGTTCAGAGAGAAGCGGAGCAAGTGCACCGCGATGCGTTGTATGTGTGTGTGATGTGAGAGGATTGTGTGGTATTGGCAAAGGCAGCCATTATGATAATTGGTACCTAGGGCAGAGAGTACTTTGGAAATAATGTCGCCATTTTATACAAATTATTTCGTGCTTGCGTACCAAGGGGAACGTCCGTGTCAGGGAGGCAAAGACCCAATTTTATGCAAAACATGAGCGCACTTTTATATTCAGTTTCTCATTCATGATCACCATGAGATCATTATGGATCACAGATAAGCGTCAAGTTATATCCGTACATTTTCTTTCATCGTTTTGGCCCCATGCTTCAGCAAATTGGATTTTAACTTTAAGGCTGTTTGTTGGGGTTTGCGTCCATATGGACAGCAATTTTAGGACAATGATCCAAACCTATGATGTAAAACATACGGACAATGCAACCTTTTGTACCCCACTAGAAGTTTAGTTTTCATATGTTTCACTGCTGATTACCTGTTGGCAAAAAGCTCCTGAAACAAGCAAGAAGTGAATATAACTGCAGTAAAGTAAATGTCTGTGAGTTGTAGACCCCAGCCACTCATTGGATGGAAATGAATGCAATCAGATATTAAATGTGGTGGCTTTATTTAAGATTATTTACCCTCAAATTCAACTGTCAGCAGTTTTCACTTTAAAAAAAACTTTAAAAGCCGATGTGTGGGAATCAAAACAACAAAAATGTATGACCATCCTAAGACTTACAGACAGCACTGTATAACAGCTTCAGACCCTGCAATGATCTGACTGTTCCTCTCATACATCAAAATCGTTATTTCTAAGGCTGAAGGATTATTTTAAAATAATTATCTATAGTGTGACCTTGTGGATATAAATCATCTTTTTTGCCTTTATTTGATAGGAGCAGCTGAAGAGAGGCAGGAGAGGAGATGACACGCAGCAAAGGCCCGCTGGTTGGAACCTACAAAGACACAGGTACAAGGTACAAAGACATTTCCGTTTGTTTATTCTATACATCAAATTATATTCTAAATTAGCCTATACGTGAAACTATGACAGAAAATCCTAACACAAGGTCTACTTACTGACTTTATTTAGGTTTCAACATATCTCATCATCTTCAGCAGCAGATCGTGCTCATTCATGACATAAACCTTGTTTCAGTATTTAATAGTTCGCGCTCCTGCTTTGTATTCTTAAAGACTGCTGTTATTTCAATTTCTGCTGCTAAATATTTGATAATTTTCCCACAAACACCCGGGGCACAAAAAAGTCAACTGCTTGTTTCATCCTTGTCCAATGCTTTTGTTAAACTAAATGTAACATGCATGCACACAAACTCCTTTATACACATCTCCCTCATTAAATTATTCCTCATTAGCATTCTCCCACACTCTTTACAATTCGACTCATGTTTTCACACTCTGTATCTTGAACCCTAGTTTCCTAATCAAATTAATTGGGTCATTTTTATAGCAACATGCTGGCATGCTAAATTGCCTGAGTCGAAAAGACAGCCGCAGACAAGAATACTCAAGTACACCCTGTAAACTAGAGGTCCACTAATGTATGCTGGAATGCCTGGAGCTCTGAAACTGTTATCTTCATGCTGATATTCATGCTGTTTCATAGCCTTCAGAGAGACATGCTAAAACTACACAAAACCCACCCAGACGAGTATGTCTTTTCATATCTAATCACATGCAGGAATAGACAGGAGACGACTTCTCGTAGACAGGTGAAATGATTCCAGTGTGGTCATATTGCTCATGTAGCCTTCACTTCTGTTCAGGCAAGTTGGATGTTTTTTTATTTTTATTTTATTTTTTTGCCATCAGCAGAATAATCTGTTCAATTTCCCGGCCTGTGTTTGATTTTGCAATGCAGATTGATAACAGTGGCAGCGCAGAGGGAACAAAAAATTCCTCGGTTGCGCACGAGTAGAGAAGCATTTACAAGTCTTAGAATCTCAAGAACTAGTTTGTGTAGTGGTGCATGGCTGAGCTTGTTTTTCTAACATGGTAGACAAAAGTGTGCATCCTTGTGGAGGTGGGGTATTTCCATCTGGTGTTAAGAGCTGTAACAAATTAGCCTTTGCAAATTGCAAACTGTGTCCCAGCTAGTTAGGGATACTAAATACATACAAGTATAGATGTATATAGAAAAAAAAACTTTCATGTACTTGAAGTTTGAATTACTGTACTGTACATCAGTATGACATGTTATCTCTATGCTTGTTCTCAAGTCCTGATATAAAAGCCCTGCTTCACCTTGGTCTAAATGCTTCGCCTCACTTTCACTTTAAAGCTGAGTAGCCTTAAGACTTCCAAGGTCTAGACACAGGAAATGAAGAAGGCTTAAGTGCATTGCTGGAATTCTGTCTGATGTGTGTTGCTTTTTAGGAGTGTGGAGTAACCGTATTTACTGGCTGAGTCTCCGGCTGCACAGCTCATGGTGTCCCCTTCCACCTAGCGCAAGTGCAGGCATGTTTTCATATCAAACCTATCTATTTCTTGCCATGTGTTATCTGCAGGTCAGCAAGCCTCTGAACCCCCACCCCTTTGCATTCCTCCCTCTGCTTTCTCCGTAAATCCCGCAGCAGTCCCAGGGGGGCCGTAACACGGGGAAAAGCCTTTCTCCACCGGTCATGGCTGTCCGTGGTCAAGCGCTGCTGCAGTGACACAAGAGAGCCCCAGACCGTCTGTCATTCTGTCTGCAGCCACACAGCACTAACCATCACTGCCCGTCTGACCACGCCACAGCTGTGATACAATCTCGGGTTCTCAGTGTGGTGCCTGTCTGCCTGTGCAGATAGACGGAGGAAGGCAAAGGAGACATAAAGGGATGAGGACAGAGGAGGAGAAAGTGCAGTGGGCTTCTGTCACTTCCTTGGTAGTCTAAGGTTAGTTCACGCTGAGCAATAACTCATAGGTCCCCTGACACTTTGCAGCACTCTGTTTCCTGGACTGAATAATGAATGTGCAGGGCTTCCATTAGCGTTGAAAGCTCAGATTATTTCACAGGGCCTGACAATTACTCATGCTCAGGGAATCAGGGACATGGCGGGGGAAATCCATAGGGATGAATTCATCGTCTCCTGGTTTATGTACGATGAAGATATTTGTGTGTTCTTTGGACATGTTGAAAAAAAAAGTGGAGTGGAGAAGATAATAAGGAGGTCTAGTGATTTGATTTAGTATTCTAGTGGTGAGTACATATGCACGCTGAACTGTCGATACCTGCCTTGAATCCAGGAACTGGGATATTGCCATCTGTTCAAGAAGCATGTGCTTCTCTCTATTCAGAGTGCTAGAATTTGGCTGCGGTAAACTTGCAGTCGAGGATACCATTACAATAAATACTCTAGAGACAGATAAGACATTTCTTTTAACTACTGGTGACAGAGACACGATCTTGTCAGCACTTATCTCAGCCCTTATCTCAAGTAACGCTTTGGAATAGTGCACAAATTGCACAAAGTAGACCTTATAGTCAGCACAGTTTCTTGGCTTCTTTTAGCAGGCAGATGTTGCCAGTGTTGAATGTGAGAGGTCACTCAGTTTAATTCTCAACCACAGTGTTTCCAGGATGATGTTTTTAAAAGCAACAGCAGTCTCCCTCCTGGTTTTATCTAGACAGAAACCGGGGGTCTCAGAGGCAGCGAACAGAAACACGCAGGCTATGCAGAATCAAACCAAAGCTGTTGCTACATAGAGAGATCTGCTGCACCGCTGGGACCTAATCATGGCACAAACTGCTGCCTTTTTTTTTCCACAATTCACTGCGGTTTCATTAGCCTGCCTTTGCCAATTTCCTGATACGCAGGCTCAAGGTTTCTAGCAATGACTGGTTGGATGCTATTTGCTAATGGATGAGTTACAATGGATTGTTAATGAATGCTGAAATACTCTCTCAACCATGGAGGAGAAGCAGGAGGCTTGGCTTATTGATGTACTGTACTCCCCATCTCCATCTGGTTTCCATGCAGCAGCAGTTAAAAGAGTGGGTTTTGAACCAGCTGAAGAGTGGGCCATTGAAATTCCATGGCACACAAGGGAAACCCTCTTACAAAATCCAGAGGGTGGGAAGGAGATGTACTGTGGAGCCACTCGTTTAAAGAATCAGTGTCCAATCTCCTGGATTACACCCCTTGACCTGCAACACAAAATCCCCTATTAAATAAGTCAAGAATTGAATTCTTTTTACTCTCCCCTCTGCTAACAGGCTTATTGACTCAACGGTCAAGTGCTTTGTGGCGAGGTTTGCTTTTAAATTGGCTAAAGGGAGAGCTTAAGAACATCTGATTATTATTAGAAAAGTCATGACATTCAAAGAGCCTCAGTGGTTTTTTTCGTGGTTTTTTTTTTTTTTTCCAGATCAAATGCAGCGTGTGATATGGTTTTGCCACTGCACTTGTGAGGGGGTTCACACGGTCAGTTTAAATTAGAGATGGTGGTTGAATGTCCTCCTAACATTTCAGCGAAACATTTAGCAGCTTCAGGTTTAATGGGGGAACAGCGTGAAGTGCTTGCTCTCATCATATCACGTTGGAATGAATCTTCTGTATGTGTGAGGGAGGAGTGCTGCGGTTTACATGCGTCTTCTCTCTCAACTCTTCCCCGCCCTACAAATTTAAAACCAGTTTAAGTAACCGCTAATGAAAAACATTTAGCCTTTTCAGCATATGGCAGTAGCTTACACAGAGAGTACAAGGAATTGAGTCAGACTCTTTTGAACGGATGTATGGAGATGTGCGCATCAGCGTGATTTATTTTAATGGAATCTTCAGATAAGCCTTTCTTTCTTCTTTCTGCACCATGCTCAGCTATCGAACGGTGTGGTTAACTAGTGGGCTGAACTGACTTTGGGGCATTTTACTCTGTTTCTCATAAATCTAGTGGTAAGAATAATGTCCATATTTCATATACATTTAAAATCTAAATTCACATTAACAGCCCTGTGCAGTGCTGTATTATTTTTTACTTGCCATACAAGGCATACTGTAAACACAGTAGTTGACGAGAAACTGTAGCACCAGCATTAATCTTTGTGCTTTCCGTTCTAAGTCTTAAATGCTGATTAGCATTCGTCCACAAGCTGGACACGAAATGCAGAATGCCAGTAGATGCTCACAGTTTGACAGTTTGTAATTATTATCAGTTGTTACAGATAATACAGAGATACTAAAATGTCCTATAATAAGCAGACATACCCCTATATAGTACGTTGGTTCAATTTAAAGCACCTTAAATTCCACCTTAACATAAAAAAACCCATCTTGCATCCGACAACATCTGTAAAAGTTTCTGTTATTTCAACCCTCAGGTTTCTTCCTCCCACTATCCCTTTTTCCATCTGCCCAGCTGTAGTAATAATAGTGTCAGAGGGTTAACGGAAGGAAAAGGTCAGAATCCAGGACACAAGTATGACCCTTTGGCATTTTGACCTTTTGCTACCCACAAGGCCGGTAGTGTTGACAGCACCCTGGTGGGGGAAGGGTAAACAAACGAGCCACATGGAAAAGAACTCCAGGCACCCGCTGCAAGTAGAACAAAAATACAGAAAACTCACGCACTCTCTCACAGCAAATTAGCATACAATATAGACTCCTGGAGTTAGCTGAATCTTTAAAAATAGTGGAACTTGATTCAAAGAATTGTGTAGTTTTGTAAAACTTTACGTGTTCTTGGCACAGCGTGTCTAAATCAGGAATAATCCCTTTACTCTTATCTTTTAATCTTTGTTCATTTCTCTGAACTGTGCTGCATAAATAACAACATTGCTGCTTGTCTTTCTCAGCCTAAAAATCAGTACAAGTATATAAGAAAGGCTTCTCCATCATTTGAAACCCCAAGAGAGGAGGCTCAGCACTCTGGCCATTTGATATCGGCTTTATTTCACTGGAAGTCGGCCATAAAGTGGAGGCTCGATCATTTATGGATGTGGCCTTGTGGAACCCACCTTTTCCATATAGGCCTTGATGTTGAGTGTATTGTGCTTGCCTATGCTTCACTGGTGCCTGGAATCTCTAATGTGGCATATAGACGCTCGCCCACTAATAGATTTGTGTCCCTTGGGACAGGTTTGTATCACTGTTGGCTGTCAGTGCATACATTATGCCATTTAAGCAAGAATGATCACTGCTATTAACAACAAAGCAGGCCCAATTGAATAATTTAACGTAGTGGCAGTGGCTCATTCCTGATAAAAGAAGGGAGTGGAGAATTGATCAAACAGACTGCCCTCACCCAACTGTGGGAATATAAATAATAAAATGAGATCAGAGTGATTAGATGTAGTACCCCATTCCAGTAACTACTGCTTACATTCCTTTGCACTGAGATTCTCTTTATGGACATCTTGATTGCACTTTCCTGCTTGCAACAGCAAATCGGTGAGTTCCATAGCAGATGGATGTGGGAATGATGGGATGTACTTTATGAGATATCCTAGAAAGTGATGTGCTGCGGTAAAGGGTTCTTTTTCTTTTCTTTTCACCTTGGTGTGTACACATTTTTGTGCATCACCTGCAGAAGAAAAAGGAAATAAAATGACATATCTCATCCACATCAAGCCTTTTATAAGTCTTCAAAGGCCACTTTATATTCATCTCATGTCTCAGTCAAAAAATATTTCATGGATTTTTAAGCTCTGACTCCCTCTAGAGGGAGTAAGAATTAAGAGCAGAGGATAAACAACAAAATGCACCTTCCCATAAACACTCCCACTTACTTAAAATATATACTTTTGATTTCCTGGCTTATAATAGATTTCCCATTTTGGATTCAGTTTGCAGAATTATCTGAAATGGTCATGCTTAGAGGGTCATATTTTCCCATTTACTCTCCCATTTCCCCATTTACTCTCAAAGAACATTGGATTCACTGATGG